TAATGTGTTCAATATCAAAAGTGTCCTCAATTAACCATAAACTCAATATTTATAGTCCAACTAAAAGATAAAAATAAGAAAGAAATAAATTCCCAAAAAACCCAAAATTAAACTATTAATTCCCTAAATAAAACTCAAAATAAATCAAGCTAACTAAATTAATTCTAATTCTTCTGCGCCCGCCTCATATAAGTGCAATGAATCTTGGGCTATAAAGCACCGACACTTCAAAACAGGTATGGTAGTAGTATCAAACGTGCGGACATGGCAGGAGCACATAAGGGACACGTCCCCTTTTATTTAGTTAAGTTGTTTTTAGGGAACACATCAGAAACACACCAACTAGTTTTTTTCCACTCATTATTTTATGGATGTTGGATGTTGAATGTTTATTACTTTTTACTTAGATTTAAATAATTAATAGATCATTCATAACAATAGACTAACCATAAGAGTTAATTTGAGAAAGAGTTTTTTTTTTTTTTTATATTGAATTAGTGTTAGATTTTATTAATTTCAATTGTTTGAAGATGTAATATTAATCTACATAGCAAATAAAAATAAATAAAAATTATTGGCATGGTCTTGCCATGTCTATGTCCCCATTTTTTTGAAATCACCATGTTCTGTGTCCATATCCGTGCTTCTTAGACCTTGGGCTTCTGCATGTGACCCCTATCACTAAGTTAATTGGATCAAGGAAGCACATTGAACATGTTCATTTACCTATGCAAAGGTTATATTCATGTGCATTTGTCTGAGCATCGATAATACTTGTGTTTTATTTTGGTACATTGGAGGCTGCAACTTGAGAGAAGGAATAATGAGATTTCTGATATTATTATTATTGAGATATCTGCCACTTAGCTTAAGAATTGGAATCAAGTATTAAAGAATGGACTATATTCTTTAATTTTTCCTTTTTAAGCATACACCTAAGTGATTAAGCATTTAAGCGTTTAAGTATTAAAGAATATTTGGATTTGAACAGAGTATTTAGACATCTTAAAGCATAAAGCCTTCCACAATTAACAATTGGCTTTAACAGAACAGTTGGCATTAAGGAAATTATTTTGGTACATGTACATGATATAGTGACCATTTTAATTGTGGAGTTTTGGGGAGTTTACTGGTTATTTGAACTAAGTTATCTGCTGTGGAACAGCAACTAGTATTTTATGAAGATCCTGAAAAAACAAAAATATCTATATATATTATTGGGTAATTGTTTGTGATTTGTTTTCTTGTACCACATAAATTTTCTTTTAGTGAGTTCTTTACCTTGTAAAGGTATTTTGAGTACGAGCATTTTAATTTTAATTTTAATTTTATTTTTATTTTTATTAAATTGATAATAATTTTCTGCTCAAATTTCGTTTCTCAAGGAAATTTTTTTATAGTCAACTATAATTGTGAGGATTGTGACCAATCAATTATTTGTTTGGTCTTAATATTTTTCAAAGCTTATTGCCCATATAAATATATTTCATTTATAGGAACATGGAAAAGAAATTTGAAGTCTTCTCTAAATCCTTAGTTGTTTCAATTTTTTTTTTCCCCGCTAACAAAAAAAAAAAAGTTCATTAAAAAAAATAGTACGACAGTCCTAAATCAGAGGGAAAAGCATACATTATATTAGTTTAATGAGTCTTCCTCACTTATGCTTGTTACCAATGTTGATACATGAGATGATAAACAAAATATGAAAAAAAATATGGTAATTAACACTCTTAAAAAAAAAAACATATATGGTTAAGTTTCTTATATATACAGATTCTTCTCTGCTTTTGTTTCTTCTCTCCAACATAATAATACAGAACATATATATTCATGTATTTTATTCCTTATCTAAAAATTTTATGCCAATTCATGTTCAAAATTAATTGATCGATCAAAAACGTTTGGGAAGTGGCTTTTTTAGTGCTTTGGTTTTGACTAAAATATGAGGTGAAAAAATATGTTTGGAAAAGAATTTTTCACTTTTTACGAAAAACATGCAAAAAGTAAAGTGAATGGGAATTCTTTGTGGAGGATGCCTTATCCTCATCTATTTTTTGTCCATTAATAAATTTCTTTGTTTTGATCCCAAAAATAAAAAAAAAAAGTAAAGTGAATGAGAAGGAATCTTTAACTTCTTTGTATGAGTTGAAAACTTTTCGGCATTTTAATAGCTTTTTGGCTTTTTTTAGTAGCTTTTTGACTTTTTGGCTAAAATAGTACCTTATACAAAAAAAAAGTCAGATTCCATCCCATTCACTCTACATTTTGCATGTTTTTCAGTAAAAAACCAATAAGTTCTTCCCAAACATATTGGTTTTTTTCACCTAACATTTTAGCCAAAAAGCCACTTCCCAAACGGGCTCAATTTATAACTTGCTCCACAAATTAACCATAGAGGTAGATTGTATGAGAAAAAAATATCATCTTATCATGCTAGTGATAAAGACAAAATATATTTATAATAAAAGTTCATGTATCAACATTTTTTTTTTTGAAACAATGGCAACAATATATTATAAATTTTTTAATTTGTGATTTGGAATGTGGAGCTGGTGGATCATTTGCTTATTCATTTAGATGCTTATTGCTACGACTTTTGGTTTGGTTTGGGTTCAGCCAAGTTCGGCATTGGCGGTGTTGCAAGGTTGGGTTGGGGGAAAGATTGGGAAAAGGCGTTGGAAGGCATGGATGCTTGCGGGGCATTGTTTGGTGTGGTTGATATGTTTGGAGTGGAATAGGCGTATTTTTCATGATGTGTGTCGGTCCAATCTGTGGTTGGAGTGTCAGTTACTCACTGTGCTTCATAGTTGGGTTACAGTTATGGTAGATTCAGATCTGTTGGTTTTTGTAAATTTTGCAGAGGAATTGATTAGTTAGAGCATCTCCAACGTTGTATCCTTTTTTTCACCAAATTTGAGTAAAAATTCTATCTAATATCCGGCGCTCCAACAAAGGATTTTGGTCTTTCATCAAAACACCAGTCGACCGGCCAATGTAAATGTCAATCAATTCTGAAATGATTTGTTATGGGAATTTTTCAATTAAGCGGATGACCGGGTGAACATCCGGCCGGTCATCCAGTGATGCAAATCCAATGACTATGAACAATCAAATGATGAAAGGTCCCAACCGTCTTCAATTTGGTGAAAGATTTATCACATCCTTAATTTGATAATGATCTGATGAAAGGATTGGAGCAGCAAAAAGGATGATTTTTCATCAAATTTAAATTTGATGAAACAATTGAAGATGCAATGGAGATGGTCTTAGGCTTTGTGTTGTTTTAGGCTACCTTTTTATATTCTTTACATCATCTTGATACTTTTTTAATAAAATTTGTTTATTTATCAACAAAAAAAAGAGTCTAATATACTACAATATATTACAATTTTTTTTTTTAAATTTAGATAGTTTAAATTTTTTAATGTCTACCTTAAAAAAAATTCCTGGAATTACCACTGCATACTAACAGAGACAAAACTAATGCCCATCCTAAGCCCCAAAACTCTAATGCACAGTTTTGAATTCCTAAGGCCATCTCCAATCCTTCGTCAAATGCTTCATCAAATTTAAATTTGATGAAAAATTGATTAAAACTGTGCACCAACCGTTTCATCAAATCGATATCAAATGACGAGAGAATTAAATTTTTCATCAAATTAAGGGAGCTTTTGACATTTCATCAAATTTTGTAGCTGGCCATTGGGCCGGACGTCCACCTGGACAACCGGACTTTCTTCATCAGAATGTCAAATTTAACTCATGGCTGAACGTCTGCTCGGACATCCTCCCGGTCATCCTCCATGACAACCGAACGGGTAACAAAATTTGATGAAAATTTTAAATTTACCATTGGAGTGCATCATATCAAATTAAACTTTTCATCAAATTTTTACTCAAATTTGATGAAGGATTGGAGATGCTCCAACCTATTTCAATGCTTAATGATAATGTCATTCACAAAATAATCCTTCAACCCTTTAAAACCCTTGACCCAATGTGCAGGTTACACTGAATTGCTATGAGTAAGCCAAATGCTCCATAATACTGCTTAGTTGTTTCAGTTGTTCTGCCATATATTTTTAAGTGTTGTAATGGAATGTTTAAATGGCATGTGATATGTCACGGTTATGATCTTATATAAGGTTAGAGCATTCCAATAGATGAACTAATGAGTTTGTTAGTGTCAGCTCCTAAATCAGTTAGCAAGAAAGAGAGAGAGGAAGGAGGGGACAAGCCTGACAGAAAAAGTACCACAGCAGAACATTTTTTAAAATTTTCTTTTGTCCTTTCTATACATATATAATACATGTATACATTATATTATTTACTAACACACATCATTGGAGCACCCCATTCACTCTCTAAATTAACAAACAATTAACACACAAAATTCGATTCCCACTTTTCACCAACTAACACACTTTATAACACACAATCTAAACCATCCCACCGTGGATGCTCTTACTTAACATTACAACAGAAGTACGAGAAGGCTAGATACGCATTTTATAGCTGTTTATACATGGGTTTGAAATGACTACTAAGTAATAGGCAGTGGTGTATAATTATTTAAAAGGTTGTCACTTCAGATATATATATATATATATATATTAGAAGTCATATATACATGAGAAGGGTAGCACTCACTGCATGTGCACTTTATACATGAAATTCAGTGCATTTGTTTAGTTTTAATAACTGATTATCTTTCTTTAAAAATAAAATAAAAAAGATTGTCTATGAACTATCTTCCATCATATACCTACTAATTCCTTTCTCTATTCAATTATCATACCAAGTGTAATTAGTAGGGCACTAGCCAAAATTATATCTCACATACATGCATACATAATATAAGATGCATTTATATACTGTTTCAGAGAAAAAGAATCGGAAAAGCAAACATGCCATATACAACCAACATATAATTATATGATGCAAAGAAACCATGCAAAAACACACCTTATGAAAAGAGGCTCCCTTGTTCTTTTTTTTTCTTTTCCCTTCCACTCCAAAATCCAAAGAAGCGTCAAAACTTCTACATTTTATTGAAGGACCTAGGGAGAGAAAGAACCCATAAACACGTCAGTCGTGAGTTAAAATTAAGGCGCCTTGATTAATCACTTTTAATGGAATAATTTTAAAAAAAATATTGAATTATTACTGGTCAATTGGGTCAAGTTAAATTTATAGGGATTATTGAGGGTGGGACATGAGCACTGAAACAATAACCTGAAGTTGTTTTTTGGAATCATTAAAAACTTACCATTGTACCAAGTAAATGTAAGCTGCAGATGGTCCTCTGGAACTATCTAATAATTTTCCAAAGATGACTTGAAGCTTTAAACTGTAGGGGAAAAAATACATGAAAATTTGATATTATAAAAATATATATATATATATGCTATATTTTAAAATTGATATTAACTAATAACCACAATAGTCTCTCATCTTAATTTTGCGAAATTACAATGTTCTCAGTATTAACAGTTCCGCATTGAGAGTTAAGAAAAGGGTGACAGAAATTTGATATCACAATTCCAACTGCCATCTTCATCATCCTTAAACCTATTCAAATAGAAATTAGCTTAGTCAATAAAACACATGAAAAAAACCTATACCTGTATATATGCATGTACGCAGAGAAAAAGAGAGACGGAAAGGGGACAGACAACATCTTGGAATTGAAGTTGCTCAATTTGCAAAATCCAGAAAGGAGGTAATTACAAAGCAAACTACTCCATACGTTCCACCCATCAAAGTTCAAATATGAAAATTAAATAGAGATATACCTGGAACATGCATGTATGTGATGTCTATATCGTTCAGTGTATATATATAGGTATATTTTAATTTGGGTATAGAAATCTTTTTTCATGGTAAGGACACTGTCACCCAAACATTTTTTTTATATGGGAAAATTTTTAAATTTTAAAAATATATAAATAATAAAATCTACACAACTTCAATTTTGGGTGAACACCAGCTGGTCTTCTGCCTTCATAGTTGTCAAATCGACAATCACATTGTGAATCAAAATCCTAATTTTGTGAATCATGAATCAAATCAAATCGAGAAATGTTAAGATTCGGTACAAACTATTAAAAATTATGTTAAACAATTCTATATACAAAAATAAATAAATAAATAAATAAAAATTGATTTTAGCATGTTTTATAAAATAGTTTTTATATAAGAACATGATTACACCATCTAATTGGGAATAAATTGCCCTCATAACAAGAGGTGTGCCTAAATCCCACCAACCATGAAAATATTCAAAAATAATAATATAATCTTTCTTAACATTAAAAAAAATAAACCTAGAAACTTTTTATAGAGTATAATAATAATAAAGAACTTAGTAGAATTTTTTATTGTAAAACCTAAAATACTTTAAAAAGTGTGTATGTTCGTTCATTGTTCAAAAAAAGGTTTTTTTTTTTTTTGAAAAAAAAAAAATACATACATGTATATATACACGTGTGTAGAGAAAAAAAAGAGACAGAAGGGGACAACATCTTGGAATTGAAATTGCTCAATTTGTAAAATCAAGTAAAAGAGAGATTGAGAGTAGTTAATTACAAAGCAAACTACTCCATATGGAACACCCACCAAAATTCAAATATGAAACTTAAATAGAGATGCACCTGCATGATGTATGTGATGTATTTATCGTTACATGTATATATATAGGTATATTTTAGTTTGGTTATAGAAGTCATTTTTCGTGGTAAGGACATGGTCACCCAAATAGTTTTCTTTATTTATTTTAGATGGGACAAAATTTTAAATTATATATATATATAACTACACAACTTTAAATTTGAGTGAACACCCATAGGTCTTCTGCCTTCATATATTAATATATATAGTGTTTCCAAGAATTAAGTGGGAGCAAGTTTGATGATAGAAAGCTAAGGACCAGGTTTCACAAGAGTATAACAAAATAATATTGTGATTGAGATACTTAATGTTGCCTCTATTAAGGTTATTTTGTAATATATCCCGTGGTATTTCTTCAATTAGTTGGAAGAGCTAAGCACATAGGTACATTGACAAGTCCATATGTCATGCACTGTAACGATGATAAATCTACATGTTTTGGTCCAATGTGTATATCATTTTAAGGTGTATAAATGATCCCTTAAGCTATTATTATTTTAGCTAACTACATCTGTGCATTAGTATCATTATTAGTAGGTAGAATACATGGAAGATGATCTTGAACTGTCAGTATAGATTGTTGGACAGTTACAACTGAAATTTGTATAGACGAGAATGGTCAATGCTATACAAATTTTATTTTACCATCAATGTATTATACAATGTGTTATGTGAACATTTCAAGATTCACAGTTGATTTAGGCAAATCTTGAGTTTGGGAAAATATTCATGCTAGAATGAGATTATTGTATCTTTGTTGCACTTAATTATCTACACAATTTATTCATGAATGTTTTATGGATGTAAAAGTGTTAGTTGTTAAAGAGAATATTGGTATATATACATACCAGAAGTATTACTATACACAGCCCTCAAAAGGAGCATATGGTATACACCTAAAGTTTGAACCACAATGGTTCATAACTTCTACCAATTTAGATCATAACAAAACCAAATTGGTTCATAACAAACACACCACAAAAACCTCATAACCAAGACCACTTCGGTTCATAACAAAATACCACCAAACCCCATAATCAAAGCCAATTTGGTGGACATACATACGAGAAGTGTTACTATACACACACCCTCAAAAGGGGTATATGGTATACACCAAAAGTTTGAGCCACAATTTTTCGTAACTTCTACCAATTTAGATCATAATAAAACCAAATTGGTTCCTAACAAAAACACCACAAAAACCTCATAACCAAGACCACTTCGGTTCATAACAAAACACCACCAAACCCCATAATCAAAGCCAATTTGGTGGACATACATACGAGAAGTGTTACTATACACACACCCTCAAAAGGGGTATATGGTATACACCAAAAGTTTGAGCCACAATTTTTCGTAACTTCTACCAATTTAGATCATAATAAAACCAAATTGGTTCCTAACAAAAACACCACAAAAACCTCATAACCAAGACCACTTCGGTTCATAACAAAACACCACCAAACCCCATAATCAAAGCCAATTTGGTGGACATACATACGAGAAGTGTTACTATACACACACCCTCAAAAGGGGTATATGGTATACACCAAAAGTTTGAGCCACAATTTTTCGTAACTTCTACCAATTTAGATCATAATAAAACCAAATTGGTTCCTAACAAAAACACCACAAAAACCTCATAACCAAGACCACTTCGGTTCATAACAAAACACCACCAAACCCCATAATCAAAGCCAATTTGGTGGACATACATACGAGAAGTGTTACTATACACACACCCTCAAAAGGGGTATATGGTATACACCAAAAGTTTGAGCCACAATTTTTCGTAACTTCTACCAATTTAGATCATAATAAAACCAAATTGGTTCCTAACAAAAACACCACAAAAACCTCATAACCAAGACCACTTCGGTTCATAACAAAACACCACAAAATCTCATAACCAACGCCACTTTGGTTCATAAAAAAACACTACAAAGTCTCATAACTAAAACCAATTTGAGTCACAACCAAAAACACCACAAACATCTCATAACCAACCACCACATGTGTTACATGGACTCTTCTATTTTCCCCACAATACTCATGTCCACCGAATATGACATGGGTAAGGGTGTGGGATATGTGTCCGACACTCATACCCAATTTAGACACTCAGATCCTTTAATTTGTGATAATATATGAGAAGAAGAAACTCAAATTTGCAAGTAAAACAATAATTTTAGCCTCTCACATGAATTAGATACAGAAATTTCATATTTTTTCTGAATCCTATTCAATTTCTATATAATTTACAACATTTCATCTGAGAATATGATATAATATGCAATATATATGTGTATATGACGCGTCCCCGCACCCATATCCAATTTTGGATACATATCCCAATATTCAAAGATTTAAATTTATGAAGGTCTAACGCTTGGATACACACCTACATCCGATACACGTACCCGAGTCCATGTAACATAGACCACCACAAGTCATGTTCACCACAAATTTGACCACCACAAAACTCTGTAACCAATCACCAATATGATTTATAACTAAGACCACAAATCTTTATAACTAGAATGTATGGTCACTACAACATTTTTGGATTTTATGGACTAACTTTTTTTCCACGCAACCTGAGATAAATTCCAAACACGCTGAAATCATGTGACTAAAGGGGGCACTCAAGCCACGCTGAAATCGTGAGAAGAGGTCTGAAAATAACCAATTAGGAGCGCACTCGACGCAACCTGAGATAAATTCCAAACACGCTGAAATCATGTGACTAAAGGGGGCACTCAAGCCACGCTGAAATCGTGAGAAGAGGTCTGAAAATAACCAATTAGGAGCGCACTCGACGCAACCTGAGATAAATTCCAAACACGCTGAAATCATGTGACTAAAGGGGGCACTCAAGCCACGCTGAAATCGTGAGAAGAGGTCTGAAAATAACCAATTAGGAGCGCACTCGACGCAACCTGAGATAAATTCCAAACACGCTGAAATCATGTGACTAAAGGGGGCACTCAAGCCACGCTGAAATCGTGAGAAGAGGTCTGAAAATAACCAATTAGGAGCGCACTCGACGCAACCTGAGATAAATTCCAAACACGCTGAAATCATGTGACTAAAGGGGGCACTCAAGCCACGCTGAAATCGTGAGAAGAGGTCTGAAAATAACCAATTAGGAGCGCACTCGACGCAACCTGAGATAAATTCCAAACACGCTGAAATCATGTGACTAAAGGGGGCACTCAAGCCACGCTGAAATCGTGAGAAGAGGTCTGAAAATAACCAATTAGGAGCGCACTCGACGCAACCTGAGATAAATTCCAAACACGCTGAAATCATGTGACTAAAGGGGGCACTCAAGCCACGCTGAAATCGTGAGAAGAGGTCTGAAAATAACCAATTAGGAGCGCACTCGACGCAACCTGAGATAAATTCCAAACACGCTGAAATCATGTGACTAAAGGGGGCACTCAAGCCACGCTGAAATCGTGAGAAGAGGTCTGAAAATAACCAATTAGGAGCGCACTCGACGCAACCTGAGATAAATTCCAAACACGCTGAAATCATGTGACTAAAGGGGGCACTCAAGCCACGCTGAAATCGTGAGAAGAGGTCTGAAAATAACCAATTAGGAGCGCACTCGACGCAACCTGAGATAAATTCCAAACACGCTGAAATCATGTGACTAAAGGGGGCACTCAAGCCACGCTGAAATCGTGAGAAGAGGTCTGAAAATAACCAATTAGGAGCGCACTCGACGCAACCTGAGATAAATTCCAAACACGCTGAAATCATGTGACTAAAGGGGGCACTCAAGCCACGCTGAAATCGTGAGAAGAGGTCTGAAAATAACCAATTAGGAGCGCACTCGACGCAACCTGAGATAAATTCCAAACACGCTGAAATCATGTGACTAAAGGGGGCACTCAAGCCACGCTGAAATCGTGA